CCCCAAAACCCCAAAACCCCAAAACCCCGGACCTGGACTGTACGATTGAAGTGTTTAATAATAATACTCATAGAGCTTATTAAATGACATGACTTCAAAAGGAAATTAAGAGGATTTAAAGGTAAAATATGAAGTCATTGCTTATATGGATTTTATAGGAAAATCTCCGCATAGGCTGGTATAATAATGGATTATTATCTTTTAGTTTTAGAATCTAATTGGTATGAAAAGTTCAGAAATTATCTCAAGTATGATTCAACATCTTTCAATAAATTTATGCATCATTGAACTGATTCTTGAGAAGCATTAAAAGAGCTCTTCCAGCTGATTTTAAATAGTGAATAAAAGCTATGAAATAATGCTCAAAGATCCAAAATGTTCAGCATAGTGATATCCACATTCTTTCTAAGAAGAAACATTATTTTAATTCTTGATAATGAGAGTCGAGATAACTTCAACCAAAGAAGATTGAAGGAACAACTAAGACTTTAAATTTTGGTAGAAATTTGGTGTTAGGATCTTTACCAGATTTTACTATTTCATAGATATTTTCTACAGTTTCTAATGAAAACTCAGTTCGGATATTTTCTGACTCCAGATGGCTTTACGGCGTTATCAAATTAATAATTGTACTAAAGATCCTTTGTTTCTTCATAAATATCGGCTTCTAATAGATAAAGAAATATACAAAAGGAGACAAAGGAGTGTGTTCAGTGCTGAAATGTTCATATTATGTCGAAACCATATATGGCATGGCTCCTAAACGTTGTAAAAAGCAGAGGTGCTTTTGAACAACCTAAACTGCCAAATCAGGTAGTTTCTGGTCTATTTCGGGGGTTAAGCAAGAAACAAAAGCTTTTGGAAATTTAGTGATCATTGAATTTTACATAGAAAGTATTTCCCAAGTTCATTTAGAAACTCTTGAGCTGGTTGATCTAGAGAAGACAAAGCAAGCGAAAGTTGCTATAAATTATTACCAATCAAAGTCTTGAGACGAAGTGGAAAACTCTTCTGGATGCTAAATCGAATGCCAAGTTTTTATGACTCATGAATCTATCAAATTATTTCCTTGAAATTTACATCAAAGTTTGAAATATTCTTATGTTTAGAAAATATAAACTCTTTGATTGTTGTAAGGAGCCCGGAAGAGGAGCTATTTAAAGTTTAAATGACTCCTAGATTTATAGCTTCTCTTAATAAGCTCTAGAGAAAGTAGATGGAAGAGAAGATATGAATACATTGTAAGGTATTCACCGATATTCTCCAAAAGTTTCTTTCTAATATATATGAATATGTAAAAACTTTCTTCATAAAAATGTGTACAATATTGTTGATGTTCACCAATGGGGATACCTCTTGATGAATCATCTTCGCTTTCGTTTGTAATCTCTTGAATTTAGAGTGGTGATATTGGATTTTCAGGCTAATATTTAAAACATAATAATATCAAGAGAGAGTATGGTTAGCAAAAGAATTATCTGCAAGGATGCCCTACATTAGCACTATTTTTATTCAATTTTTCCATACAGAGGATTTTGTTTTTGAAATTTTCAACCTCTCTGCTAAAATAATACAATACGTAATCAGTTCCTTTTCAAAATGTTGTGATAACATGCTTGTCTAAGGTCTAAAATATTGCCTTCTTTCTATAGACAAATTTCACTAGGCCTTCCCGAAAATGAGCCCTACTGCTAGTGCATAGGTTTATCGTCATTATTCTCCCCTTTTTGAATGATTTCTTGGTCTTTTCATTGGGTTCAAGTTATGAAATAGTGTGTCGGCTAAATCAACTGTAGGCTTACATTCTTACTTTCTGATTAAAGTTCCTTCCAGAAGAAGCAATAAGAAAGCCATTCCTTTTTTTGCAGAATTTTATCTCTCTGATGCTTAAATATAAGGGTAGGAGGTCTTCACCAACATTTTTAGTAACTTTGCTAGAAGTGATTATTGCCTAGCAGGACATTTCAGAGATGGAATTTTTGTACTTCAGACTAGCATTTAGAATGGATAGGTATAGGTTATAGATTTCCTACAGTCTCTATGAATTATTCACAACTTCTCCAGAGCTAAGCATATGAATAATATTTATTAACAGTTTCGAAACTTTAATTGGTAAAATATTTGATTCATGAATTAAAACTCTGAAATTGCCAAAATATATGAAAGATCCCAAGGTTGAAGAAAGCACAGCAGAGAGCGAAGGCAACTCTCAGAGAACTCAGATATAGAATATATGCTGAGTAGATTTGTACCTTCAAAAATAGTATAACAGTCTGGATCAGTTTGTCATTATTCGGACTCCCATTATGAACTATTCAGAAATATTCTGAATGGTGAAACCCTAACTTCCCCTAGATTTTTCATGCAAGCTCCCTATGTCTCCTTGAGTAAAGAGACATGGGTTATTGTTTCAAAGAAACGCAGGAAGCAGTGCGAAGCAAGAGCTCGTTATTTCCAATGAATTTTGGTTGTAATTTAAAGTTTTTAGAAACATTCAGGAGTTATAGTTTCTCATTAAAAGGAGTTGTCGTCACCAATTACGAAACTTAAAATCTGAAATTTAGTGGGGTTTGATAGGACTCAAGATATAGAAGAAAAAGGGATAGATTTTTGAAAGCTTCATTGAGAAAAGATCTTGCTTTCTGAGGTTTAGAGACTTGTTCTAAGTTCTGAGATAGAAGCAGCTCAAGTTTAAGCTATACTTGAGATTTAAATGAAGTAAAAACTCCTGTATGGTTCCATATGGCATTTATACACTTCTTTTGAGACTTGGTGCTTATAAACCTCTTGAGTTTATAAGTCCTTGAGAGTTGAAGGCATCAAATAATTTAATCTGGATAAGCAGTACGACTACAAAGTGGTGTTTTAAGTCTGGCAATAAATTTCCAAAGGCGTAGTCAAATAGAGTTTAACCAGAAAAATCGAAATCAGTTTAGTATATATCTCTCCAAAGCAGAGTCTCTGGGGATGTGTTTACCCAGAGTTCATGAATCACTCGAATTATTATAAACTTTGTCGACATCGACTAGTTCTTTTTTTTATTAATTTTAATATTTTCGAACAATTCTGATACAGTCAGTCTTAAGACAATTTCATAAAGATTTAATGGGAAAATTAATAATTATCTTGCTAGCAAAGAAATTAAGGCAAATACAAATATGCTCAGCTTAAAGAAGAATCTTAACCTAGAGAGTTGGCTACATTCTCTTATTCATTGGAATCTACTATTGCTTCAAAAGTATAACATTTGTGGGTCAAATGGCTCAGGAAGGTGCCTAATTCCTCCATAATATCACCCAAAGTCCAGCCTGAAAATAAAAACCTCGTTTTAAGTTTATACAGCTAATTCTTGAAAACAGAGAGCCTCTAATTTGGCAAATTTGCTAATTATGCTACTAATTTTTAGAAAATAATGAAGATGCAAACATTGTATGAAGTTTCGGGAGCTGTATAAAATTCAGCCCAATGGTTTTAAAATGGATGAGTGCAAACTTGCTCTCAACTATTTTGATCATTTAAGATCCTTCTTATTGAAAATCTTGATTTTTTTATGAAAAATAACAAAAAAATTAATTAGAACTTAAGAATACTGAAAAATAGAGCTATAATGGATCAAGCTTGAGAAGCTCGTTGCTTTTATAGCTTAAAGTAAAGACTTATTCTGCAGATAAGTTTTAATACTCAAGAAGTCAAGTTTTTATACCTTCGAAGGTTATAATAAAAGTACTTTTAGGTGATTCGATTCTACACTTTCAGATGTCTAAAAATGTCTTAATTTGTCTATCTAATTAGGATTAAAGCATTAGAACACTCTATATAGCTGTACCTTCTTGGCTGATTTTAGGCTCTCACCAATCAGGGCTCTGCTGTTTTTACGAACATAGATGTACGAATATAATCCCAGGGTTTCACCAGAAATTATGAGAAAATTCATTATTAAATTGAAGTAAGGATGGTCTGAAGAAGGCGTCAAGGGAATCAATTTGTGAACAACGCTTCTTAAGAAATTCTATACCCAAAATTAACGCATAGAAGGTAGCCTAGTTTAACAGCTCTTTGAGGCAAGTAGATAGGTGATGTGGGGAATATAACATAACCCTTTTCCTTCATTATTATATTGCCAATACGCATTTAAAGAGTTAAGGATTGTTTAGTTAAAGCTCAAGGTTTCTCTGTTGCTAGCAAATTTTATTTTTGAAATTCAGGTAAATCAGATGAAATTGTAAGTCCATGAAATTTTTTATGATCATGGTGAGGGATGCTTTAAAGGATGAAGAGCTATATGGATCAAACTCAGTGGTCATGCTTAAACCATCTTAGCATAAAATGATAAGTTTCTCCTCAAAAATGCTGATCTAAGTAAGCTGAGTTTTTGTTACTTAAAATTTTAAAGAATTATTCAAAATTTGGTGAACTCTTCTCTGAAAGAATCTTGTATTAATTTCTTAAAACTCTTTAAAGACTGTATAAGTCTGAATAAATAATATACAAATTCGTGAAAACTCTCATGCATATAATTTCTAAATTTTAACAAGGAATCAACCTCTATTTTTCATTCAGAAAAGAGAGTTAGAAACGAACTGGTTTGAAAAGGAAATTTAAAGTAAAAATCACCGGGTTTTCTCCCCAGAATTAAGACTTGTGACGAATTTGTAAATAACCATGGATGCGGATAGGCTTCTCTCATGTTAACGCTTGCATTAAAGAATTAGTAATTAGATATAAAATAGAAGATGAAACAATGATTTTTGTTAAGTTTTATCTCAAATTAGTTATGTTGTCTTCTCTTCATGCTCAACGGTTGCAAACTTGGAGAGATTATGGTGTATCCTTCTGCTTATGTGTCCTCATGTGAGCCTATAATAAGTTAGATATCTGCACCTGAGTAAGAGAATTGCTATTTTTATCAAAGATATGGTGGAGAGGTGAGCCAGCCGTATTGTAAAGATATCTTACCATTAAGTTGTATTTCTCAGTATATCGTTTCTTGCAAATCCTTCACTGAAATTTCCTTCTTTCTTCCAAACTCTTATGTTGGTGCTGTTTGGAGTGTTTCTTCAGGTTGCCTTTCTGTGTGAAAGCTTTGGAGCAGAAGTTGCACTTGTACGGTCTGATGCCTTTGTGCATTCTGGAGTGGTCAACCAGGTTCCAGATCTTGGTGAACTCTCGGTTTCAGTTGCCATGCTTGCAGATATAAACCATGAGGGTTCTTCCACTGTCAGGAAGTGTCTCTATTCTCTTTTCATGCTTAAAGGGTTTGAGTAGGTTCTCATAGAGTTCAGTTTTTGAGACACCAGGCTCATGCCTCAATGACACTTCTTTAAGCTGCTTATAAGTCTCATAATGTATAACCTCACGAGTATCTTGACTGGAAGCTTCATTTCTTCCTTTTGCAACTTGATTTTGGGTTTGATGATTTTCAGTGCTTTTTCGAGCTTCGACGAATCCGTTAAGTTTTTGAACACTTGTTGGGTTGTTCAAAGAGTTCGAGTTACTTGGAGAAAACTCTTTCTTGTCCCTCACTGAAATAAATGATTGTTTGGAGCAGCCGTTCAATCAATAATAATCCAACCAGTTCACTGCAGCCAGAGCAAGGGACGTGAGAGCATCTCTGTGTTTGACTAGCATGCTTAGCTGATTTAAGACCATCATGTTAGTTAAGTTTTTGGAATCCATTTACGTTAAAAGTATGTTATTAATTACTTTTGATCTCAGCTTATCAATGCAACTTGGGGTTTTGGGGTTTTGGGGTTTTGGGGTTTTGGGG